ATATTGTAGATAGTTATATAACTTCTCAATAAAGATCAAGCCATGTGACATGGTTGTGGGTTAAAAAAAAAAAAAAAAAAAAAAAAAAAAAAAAATTATAGTATATTAGTAGACATTACAAAATGGAATGGAAAAGAAATAAAGCCACCAAATTCAAGAACAACAAGTATATAGGATCTAATATGTGAGAGAATAAATAGCTATATATGGAATATATCTTTCAAAGATTCTCAAAAAAAAGCATTCTTATCAAACTAATAAATAATGAGTTACCAATACTGAGTAAACTAACAATAAGAAGATCAAATCTATATAAGTAAGTAAAATATATTATATATAATTTTCAAGAGAAAGAAACAATCAATTACTTGTTAAAATATTCAGTGTATAAGGAACAGATAAAGAGAATATGAAATAAAGATCTTGAAAAAGTTTTGATAAATTTTAAAAAACTTTTACAAGAAAGAAAAAAGAAAGCAGAAGAGAAGAATACTAGATTAATAGTAGATAATAGTGAAGAAATAGGTAAAGTAGATAAATGGATTTTCAGGCTAATAGAACAGTTCTCAGCAACTAGTCAAGATTAAATATAAGTTCCTAAAAGAGGAAGTAGTGACAAAAGTCAAATATCTCTTACTAGGAAACATTAAAAATTTTAAATTAATAATTATAAAAAAACTACTCACAATTATTTTTTATTATTTAAATCATTGATTTATAATATTTTCTGACTTTTGTCCCTATTAAAGTGAATAGTTATAAATTTTATTTTTTAAAAAGAAATATAAGTGATCTGCAAAATTTTATATGCTAAATACTTTAGGGACCTATCATTAGTCAGGATATATTAGATTTCTTTATAGGATTAATAATAAGTAAATTCATTCTTGAAATGACAAATTTCATGATAAAAGAATTGGAAAAGAAGTAAGAAGATAGATTAAGAAACTGCAAAGTATGACTTGTAACTAGTTCTAGAAGAAGATTTGAAACACAAGATATAAAAGGATGATAGAATGGAAAATATTGCAAGAAATCCAAAAGAAGGATAATATAAAGAAATTCTTTAATCTCCCAGGTGTTAAAACCATATGACTGGAAAGGAAAGCTTTAATATTAAAGAAAAAAAAAATTAAAAGACAAAGATCTAAAGAATATTTTATCAAAAGGAGTTAGATTTAAAATAAGATAGTTGGATTTTGAGTATTGTTAGAACTTGAAAGAACAATCTGCAGTAGTAACCTGCAGGCAATGATATTAGGAGTTGAAAGGGTTTTCACCTGAACTACTAATGAAGCAATAAATTATTTCCAAAGTTGTACTTAAAGTAGTAATTACAAAAATGAATGAGTTAGTTAGCATTTTTTAGCTTTAGTGATTCATATTATATGTAAAGTTTACAAATGTTTAATAAAGCATACATAACTAGCCTGACAGAGGATTGAAAAAAAATAATAATAGTAATTCACTTGACAGAGAGTAACAAAAAAAAATGTACATTATTGCAAAAAAAAAAATATTATTTAAAACAGTTTTTTAACTTTATTTTTTTAAAAATATAAATTATAAACTTTTTTATTTTAAATATATCTATTAATACTTTAATTTAGCTGTTATCTTGTGATTTGTTCTAAATCGCATTTCAAAAAAATCCTCATATTCATTAATTTACCTAATTGTAATAAAAATTTTTCTGAATAATTAAAAAAATGTAGGCAACAGTTTTAATTTATTAAAAGAAAACCATTTCCATGTTTTTATTGACTTATGGCATTTTAAATTCAAAATTTTATATTAACAAACATTATATACATTAAGAAAAAGCGGGACTGAAATCTGCTTATTTAAAAATAATTTTCAACGACAAAAGAACAAATAGATAATTCATTGACGAATATGTAATTCACAAGTTTTGAAGGTTACAATAAAGTGAGATATCTTCACGTTTCAATACAATGTATGCTAACATAAAACCTTGTTTACACTTCACTAGTCCCTAACCAAAGATATCCAGCATCATATCATCATCCGACTCTTCAGCCTCAGCTTCCTTAGTGGAAGCAGCTTCCTCTTTCTTGGCGGTGTCAGTGGTTTCCACAACTGGGGCGGCGATAGCGAACGCAGAAGGATCCGCAAGATATGCCTTAATCTGTTGAAAAAGAAGGATTAATCAGAATATAGTGAACACAATAATAATTGTTGATCCCGTAGGTTAAAAGAGACCATCAGTAAAAAATTAGAGTGAAAGTTGAATTCATCAACATTTCAGTAACCGAAGGATCATCACACGGTTTTCCCAAAATTAATGTCAGTTAAAGGTACGAAAGACTTACCTTCTCAGAACCAGGGAAAGTATAATTGGTGGCAACTGAAACGGCCAACAAATCCTTGTAAGCATTGATGAGAGAGTGAGGTGCGGAGGCAACCGTTGGGTACCCTATCTGAAGAGAAGTAGCGGCAATAATCTTGACACTACTTAAGAAATTATCAATCAAGGTTGATTCCTCAATGTCAAGAACGGAAGGAGGAAAGGTGGTGCCGTTGTCATAAATTTGAAGAACAGTCAACCCATATGTGAATGGAGAAATGTTCAGCATATTCAATAATGTGGCCTCCGAAGCGCCAACTTTACCGCCAGCCTTCACAAGATGCACATCATTGATAATTTCAATAGTGCCACGTGCAATTTTGGTAGGGACACCCAAGGCCTGGAAGAAGGAGGTCTTACCAGGCTCCATACCAGTGTTACCACCCGGCACAATTACATCAACGGGTGCAATAGCACCAGCTTTAGCGGGCGCACGAACCTAGATCAAAGGAAATTAAATCAATTACATCAATCTGAATCAAATACAAGCACATGTTCTTACCCTGTTAGACAAGATTACATCTCGTATCTCTTTTAAATCACCATTCGTAAATACAAAACCAATGTTTCCCTTGACGTGAGGCAACAGCTTATCATGTTGAGGGTTTTCGCTGATCAAAACCTTCAGAGCCCTTCTGACCATAGTATTCTTTCCCATTAGAATGACCGCCTTACCACGAAGAGCGTGGCGGATCTGGTGCATTTGATTTGACCCCACATTGTCGACGTTCACGATAAAAATAGAAGGGTATTCTTCCAATAAAGCTTTGAGGTTGTTGAAGTATTCAGCTTTTTTGGAACGACCGCCTCCCTTTGGCATCTTGAATTTTTTGCAAAAATATTCACGTGTTCAAGGGAATCCTGACGGACGAGTCTAAACAAAAAATAAACAGTGGTCATTTATATGCTTCCCGGTCTCAGCAGAACTTCTTAACAAATTATCCGCTCCTAATTCATTTTGATTTTTCGATGGATGCTAACTCAATGAATTTCTTACATACCGCAGATGTGGTATTCAAGAGTAAGAAGGAATCTTTAAACAAAATCTAATGTAACATATATCTGCACAAATTAGATCAACCAATCAGACGTGACTTTCATGCACCACTAAACATATACGTGTATGAGTGTTCGAGGTCACTCAACATATATTCCTGCCCAGCGATAATACTTTTAATAAAATGGGAATCGTACTTGTTAAATTATGGCGCAAACTTACCAGCAAAGAAGAGGTGAAGATAGTGCTCGTGGGATTAGACAACGCAGGAAAGACTACGGTTTTATATAAATTGTAAGCGTAAATAATTAAGATGCAAAATAACACACGGACAAGCGCAAACATTTATCAAGGATTCCTTTTTAAATAGATTGCTAAATGAAGTAGTCGTGACAACCCCTACTATCGGAAGCAACGTGGAAGTATGCGCGAAGTCGAGATCGCGTCTTGCTCTTTTGCTTTTAATATCGTTCATTCTAATCATATTCTAGCAACAACCTATTTTGACAATTAGGAAATAATTTATAAAAATATACGTTTTCTTATGTGGGTAAGTGGTTTTTTTTCAAACGTAGTTGTAAAAGGCTGCAATTTTTTACAAATAAACTCTTTATTCTAGGATCTAGGGGGACAGGATTCTTTGCGCACTTCCTGGAAGACATATTACATAAAAACCAGAGCCGTCATTATGGTTGTTGACAGTACAGACAAGGATCGAATTCATATATCGAGGACAGAATTGCATACAATGATGGAGGATGAGGTATTTTAGAAATCCTTATTCATAATCCAAAAAATGTCATTTCTCGATTCAATAACTCTTATTACTATTATTATTTGTTTATTAAAATTAAAGAATCTCAAAAGTTCAGTTCTGTTGGTGTTTGCGAATAAACAGGATATAAAGGGTGCATTATCTGCAGCACAGATTTCAGAGGCATTAAATTTGACGAGTTTTCGAGATCGACAATGGCATATACAGGTAGGGTCACATTAATGTTTGTGAACAATCAAATGATCACGAATTTAGTTTCTTAACTTTTCGTGTTTGTAGGCATGTTGTGCTTTGACTGGCGACGGGTAGGTTGTTTAAAAGTACTCATATATAATCAAGCGTAAACTTTATACTCAGTTTATAATAATAATTAACAATGATTAACGTATCTCTCTATAGTTTATTTGAAGGGTTGGATTGGATTGTTGGCCAAATCGAAAGTTCTTGAACCTTGCATATATCAAAAGCAGGTTCCTAATTCGGGTTTGATTATTTAATTTAGGAATATTCACGAATTTAATTTAGTTAGTAATTCGAGTAGCAACTCATGTTTGTTTATAATAAAATTTGTATGATATTCAATTTGCATAGCTATTATCATATGAATAATGATAGATCAGAACGGGGGATGGGGAACAAATTAAATAGAAATTCTAAATTCTTTACCTGAAATAAAAAGAATATGAATTTATATCTACCTAGTCAAAGATCCCACAATCCTTATCACCATACTTTGCCGAATCTCTAGCCTTCCTTTTTTCTTTACCTTTAGTACTATTCCTCGTAGAATTACTATTTTTCCTTTTGTCCTTCCTTTTCTTTAAGGATTGCGACACTCGGGATTTTATATCTGCCTCGGTAAGCTTGGTGCCTTGGGAAAGTAACCTTGATGAATCCTTTTTTATATCTCTGTGAACCTTATAACTCCGGTTATTCAAAGGTTCTGGATTCAGGTCAGCATCCGAACCCGATTCATCATCTGTTGAAAGGTCACCCGGATCGTTTTCCTGCTTTTAAAGATATTTTACATATCCTTTCGTAAGGCAACAAATTTGAATATCACAATGCCCAATTTCCGTCTGGTTATTACCGTGTTATCGTCGCTCGTGCTTTCTGTAGAATCGTCTTTATCATTACTTTCATCTCTTTCCGAACCTTCGTCTAGATCATCATCCATTTCATCACCGGCATTATCCTGTGATTCATCTAGCTCGTTTTGATACTAGACGAGTTAGATTTATCATCACCATGGATGCAATAAAAGAGAAACAATGCAGGCATAATTCAAATGATTCATGCACACCATTTCTAATTCTTTCTGGAATTGTCTGGTGAAACCGCTCGCGGCCACTTGAACATCCAGATCAAATTCGCGGTTTACATCGAGTTTAAACTTGGGGAATAGCACACTCTCGTAGTTGTAACGCTTTCTGAAAAAGGTTCTTATGCATTCTACATCCCGATTGAAATACCTAAGCCATGAATAAGATTCAAATCTTGAAATGTGAAAAGTAGATGAATGGCGTAAAACTTAACTAACCATTCGGCATTCGGATGCGATGTTGATACCATTTGCGGGAAATCGATCAACACAGGATCCCCATTTTCCTTTACCAGAATATTGAACTCATTGAAATCTCCGTGTATAAGGCCATACTGTGCAAGTTTTACGATAAGATCCATCAAATCAGAATAAAGTTTCCCGGGATCTTTCACTTCGGTTATTTGTTGTCTATAAATACAATAGGATGAATCCTTTAGAATAATAATGTATAATAATGCTAAAAACTTCGAGAACGTACAATGGGTAAGCGTCAACTAATTCCATTAATATGCAATGTCGAGAGTTGTCGATTGGTTCAGGAACTGGAAATCCATTTTCATGTAATACCTAACGATAAAGATTCACGTTTAATACCGAACCTCCGAGGGACTCGTAGTAAACGACCAAGTCCACCTTCATAAACGAGAATTCCTTGATGGCCGCTAATCTTGACATGTACATCCAGGACGCAGATCTTCGGTGTTGAAGATAATCGCGTTTTGATTTAATTGCCCGAAAGGAAACGCGACCAAGTCTGCGTGAATGACAAAATCGTTAAATCTATCGCATAAATAAATATTAATCGGTTTTATACGGACCTGTGTATCTTCAGCACATATTGATTCTCGTTTTCATCGGCAACAATATAAATATCTAAATGAAAGTCAGAAACACGTAAATTTGAAAGAACTCCAGATGATCAAAGTGCACACCTGATTCTTTGCCGATCCCAATTTGGTTTCCCACGCAATATAAAGTGTTGCGTTTCACAAATGTCTTTAACGCCAAATAATCGTAGCCACCGTAAGTCAATCTATACCCGTCATCTATTATTAACACGATAGGTAAGCAAGATTTGTGTCGTTTTATGTTAAATACCGAAAATCCCTTACATTTCGTATTCTTCACCCTGGCCACAAGATCTTTTCTAGCCAGCTCACCCAGTAATTTGTGACTGCCCCCGTGACGTAGTCCTGCTATTTGAGCGATCAGAGGTGTCGGTACGACTTCATGATTCTTTGAACCCATCTCCACCTTTGAATTAATTGAAACGATGTAATTCAGGATCCCTTTCGGATGTTTTCTCCGAACATTATAAACTTACGGCTGTAAGAACACGAAATTCTTCCGTGCTCATATAACGTAACATTTTAACGTCCAATTTCATTTTTTTAGATAGTGAGATTGTTTTATTGATACAATCGATTGCTTTATTAAAATTTATAAATTTTGCGAGATGTAGATTGTCGATCAGTTCTAGTAATAATATACTGTAAAAGAGAATCCTTTTATCCGTTATATACGTAGACATTTAGGTTTTGACCGCGAATATATAAAGCGCTTGCTTTGGAAAATCCGGTATCTGCTTACTATTAATTCACAGTATATTTCTATATATGGGCATATAATATCAAATTTAGTTGAAATCCATCAATGATAAAAAAAATTTTTTTTTTTTTAATAAAGTTACTTTTTAAATATTTTAAAATATTATTTAAGTTTATTATAAAGTTAAATAACTAATATTCCCTTTCTCCTTTTTTTCAACCCATCCTTTTATAGTTTCTTATATTCCAGTAGCTTGATAAAACATTCAGTAGTAACAATTTGTTGATAATAAAATAATTAGAAAAGTATTTATTTAAAAATCATCATAAAATAAAATATTCATTAATTGAAAAAAAATTATTTGATATATTGCAACTCATGTAATATTTGTAAAAAATAAACATTTCAACAAAAAAAATGTCATAAATAAATTGATAACTATATAAATATTACAAAAATTGATATATTAACAATTCATTAAAAAATTCATTAACAATTCATCAAATAATTTTTTTTTTTTTTTTTTTTTTAACCCACAGTCAGGTCAGCATGGCTTGTCTTTATTGTATATATATCTGATATTTACGAATTATTTTGACTTTCACATACTAACTTACCTGTCATCGAAAAACTATTTCTCTAGATGCAACTTAGAAAATGATATTTCGTTCCTTTACTAACTTGGATAAATCCTCTAGTCAATAAAATCATTGCCTACATGTCATTACTGTAGATCATTCTAAATTCCAACTGCAGTTAAAAACCAAACTATTTCCTTTTATAACAAATCCAATCCTTGATGATTTCTATATACCTCATTTCCTCCTTTCTTTCAAAGACTTTTTGTTCCGGATTTTCTGCAAGTGTGGATTCTTCTTTCTGTTCTTATATGACCTGTATAATAGATCGGTGCCCATATCTTTTGATTCGTTTGTTCTTTTCAGTAATATTCTGCTTCTTTTCCCACTCTATAACTTTTTTACAGCAGCTATTCCATATGTTTTTCTTGAAATTTTTTCTCATTTTATAACAAAGTTTACCAATTATGCTTTGTGTGACTGTCAGGGGAATCTTGAGTTGTATTTTGAGGTAATTCTTTAAGGAAGTAGTTTTGTTCTCTTCTATATATCCACAAATAGTATTGAAAAGGCTTCTATCAGATCGCTGAATCTCGTTCAACCATTTACTTGTCCAGTTATTGGTTGCAGGGTGGACTTCTTCTTTGTTTTTGATTTCTTTACTGATATATCGATTGATCTTTTCCTTTGCTTTTCTCCATATATCCTCTCTAATTTCTTTAGTGGCTGAACATTCGAACAAGTGTCCTAAGGTTTCTTCTTGAAGTTCACATACTGGACATGTCGTTATGGTATAAATATCTGATTTCTTTTTTTTCAATATCTGTAATACTGGAAGTTCATTATGGGTCAGGTTAGTTAGGAATGAAAAGTTTATATAACTATCTACAACATTATAGATTTTTTACATAATAACTAATTCATAATTGTATTAAAGTATTTTAAGTCAAGTCTAAAAAACAATATTTATTTTTCTTAAAAAATTAATATATATTTATTTTTTAAATTTATCATTAACAGTTTGGTACTATAGTTTATTCCAAAAATTATGAATTGTTAAGTTAATAAAGAAAAAAATAATAATACAATTCAAGTTTTTTCAAAAAAGTTTACCAATTAAATAATTTCTTCTCAAAAGATATTTACTTAAATGAAATATTTATTTTGTTTTTACTTAAATCTTGAAAGAGATTTTTTTTATTACTATTTATAATATTGAATAAGTCAATTTAACTAGATTTATTATTTAAGCAAATATTGAATTAAAATAGTTTTAAAGAAATTTAAAGATCTCAACTTTTAATTAAAAAAATCTTTTCATTATTTGAAAAACTTAAGAAAAATAAAGCTTTGTAATTTATATTATTTATTTTTTACTTTTTAATATCCTGGATATCTTTTTTAAAAATTTGAAACTTTTGAAAAAAAATCAATTTCTAGAATTTTTTTTTCAATTACCACTAATGTTATTGAAATATAGTTAATAAAAACTTGTTTATATAGTATTTTATAAACCAATATATTTCATATTAGTCAATTATCTTTAATAAAATTTGTTCTATCTAAAATTCATGATCAAATTGAGATAGACAAAATTCATTAAAGACTATGAAAGTAGAAGTTTTAAAAGAGTTAAAATAATCAAAAGTAGAGAAAATAAATCTTTTATTACAAAAATCTTCATAAACTTCTCATTTTAAAGATTGAAAAAGTTTTCAAATACTTTATAGTTGGTTCTTTTGCCTTTGAGAACTTTCTTATTATTAGTAACAAAGGTATTACTTGATTTTTCTTGATTATTAAAATCAAATTTTTAAATAAAAAAGTTTGTAATCAATAGTAAAATGGTAGTACTCCCAGGTCACAATTACAATATCTGTAGTTCAATACTACTTAAGGATCAAAATCAAAAATTATCTTATAATTAGATTTATTAATTATATTATAAAAGTTATATCCAATTATCTGAAATAAGCTTCAATCAGATTAGGCTACATAAAGATAAGACTTCTGACCTTTTGTCAATCAGAAACTAAGATATACTGTATGATTATACTATTAGAAGGATTATATGAAAAAAAGTTTCTGGTTCAATCTATCATAAACATCACAAAACTTTTCTATCCTGGTAACCTTCAGCATCTCTACTTTTCTAGCTCAGAATATTTCAATCTGATATTCTGCTTAAATAAAAATCAGTTAATAGGAGCTAATTCAATATCATAGGTAGTAACAAAAAAGATAAATGTTTTTTTCTAAGATCTAAATGAATAATATCTAAAAGTATTAAAGAATATAACAAATTTTATTATATACTGTATATTCATATATAAGTACTTTAAGTCAAATTTTAAAGACAATATTATACTCTTCTAATAAATTGATAATGACCTTTATCTATTAGAATTATTATCAATAGTTTGGTACTGTTAATTAATCCAAAATCAATTAATTGTTAGTTAAAAAAGAAAAAGGAGAAAAATGATTGGGAGAAGAAGACAATTCAAGGCTTATCAAAAAAGTCAAAAAATAAAAACAAATCTCTTCTCAAAAGGGATCTGTTTAATTGAAATAATCTTTTTTCTTTACTTGAACCTCAAAAGAATTGTTCTCCTTTTTTATTTTAATTATAATAATTTATAATTCTTTATATCAATTAATAAGAACAAACTATTTATAATAATTTTAGTAAATAAAATAAATATAGTTTAATTAATAAAGTATAATTTTGTTTTTAAATCAAACTTAAAGTACTTATATATAATTTTTTTTTTTTTTAATGTTGGCTCAACCTTGTTTTATTTGTATATTTGCAGCAAAATTACATAGGAAGGCTACCCTAGAACTTACTACTTGTTTTTTATCAAATAAAACTTAATAGAAAATTCTCTTTATGGGAGTACTCACCTTGCGGCTTGTTGCTACCTCTTGTAAGAAGGCTAACCTGCCAAGGCTGGGCTAATGCTAAAATAAATTTCAATGATAAATGAGTTGTTTATAATGTTTGTGAGTCACTAATCCATGAAGTTATTGTCAGGATCTTTATTAGTAATATACTTGTACATTCATATAAGACAACTGTCTTGATTTCAGCCACTTTACATTACTCTTTGTATACAGATAAACAATATATATACTAACAAGTACTCATATATCTATTTACAGTATATTAGTAATCTATGTATATGAGTAGTTTCTATATATTTACTAACTATGTATAAGCACTATCTTATCAGAAAACTATGTAATTTCTTCTTAATTATTCCTAGACCATTTTTATTAAAGGTAGTCCGATTATCAGATCATCAAATTTTCTTTATCCTGAATCCAGATTTTGGTCCTTCGGAATGGTCAATAAATTTTTCTTCCTATCAAGACCTTCCAATTGTTAAGTCTATAAGTCAAGACATAGCCATATACTTGAAGTCTTGAAATTGGATAAGATCTTCAGTCAATCCTTTCTCAGTGGCATGTAACCAGTTTAGAGATTTACTCTTCTTGTTACCAGCAGGTAATAATGGGTCCTATCAAGAATAATTCTACTTGATTTCGGATAGTAACCTGATCACAATATTTGTATAGACCATTCTGTATTACAGAGATCTTGATTTTTGGCAAGAATCAGTAAAAGCTATCAATCATCTTGATCTGCATTAGCTATACTCAGAAACATCAATTATATATGGTTAGGCCAATGAATTATTTACCAGATTCTACCTGCTTATAGATAGAGGAATCATATTAGCCCACTGGAGAATTTGAATTTGCATCTTGTGATCAGACCTACATAGTACTAACCACTGTACTACAGATCCATAGATCTACTTATATATAAAAATAAATTGATTATATTATAAAAATCTATAATTATTATAGATTTTTTTTTTTTTATAACCCTAGGTCAGGCTAGGTATGTGTGCTTTATTAAACATTTGTATACTGTACATTTTAAATGATTCGCTAAAGCT